CATTTTTCAAATGGTTATTGAACTTATCAAATGTTATCCATTTATTACTTAATAATTCACCATTAGAAAATTCGATAGAATTGGTGACGTGACAAATTGAAACGCCGACATGGCACATTATTATCGTTAGTTGATGACAAATAAGCCAAAAATGCTATTTCATATATTAGAAGCGATGGATTTTAACCTTGCATGTTTTCTTTCATTTTAATTTAGTATTAACCCTTTATTGCTTTTTCTCGTCAATCCCATTTTTTTTCTAATTTGCCGCCATTAACGACAATAATGTAACAAGTCAACCTTTTCGTTTGCCACGTCGTTGAGTCTGTCAAAATTTTCAACGAGTCATTGAGTGATGAACGATATAACAATTTGATAAGTTCAGTGATCGTACAAAAAACTTTTAAAATTTAATGGCAAATGAGATAACGATTTATATATTTGATGTTCATTCGAATAACTTTTAAATTTCAGTGGTCTATAAAAAAATTGTGCAAATTTCAATAACTATTCAAATTTTTAATGCGCAACTCTTTTATAAAATAATAATTCAATTATGCAGGTAAAAAAGAAAATTAGTAGAAGGCTAGGCCCCTGTCCCCAATGGCATAGCCCAAACCCATCCATCTCTGCCCATACATAACCTCCAGCGTTCGAGTCCCTTCCCATACAATATTTATCAAAAACAACTCTCCAAAAGACAATAAAACCCCTTCGGTCATTCTCCCATCGTGCTCCCTAGGGTTTGTCAATGGTTTCTGTCTGAGCCATAAAAACCGGTCCACCATGGAAATACAGCGCCACAAACCGATCAACACTGGCTCATTACCGGAACCGGAGTTCTCCTTCAGATTGAGCAAAGTAGCGTTGGCCCAGATCTGCAAATCGGTGGGCTTCAAGGAGGCCCAAAGCTCAGCCCTCGAAGCGCTCACAGACATCGCTACCAGGTACTTGAAAGTAATCGCCAAGTTGGCTGCAGACTCTGCCAATTCTCGCCGCCGCACTGAATCGAACCTCCTTGACGTCGTCGTTGCCCTCGAAGATTTGGGTTCTGTACGAGGTTTTCGGGGTGGGTCTGATACAAACTTACATACATTGTACAAGTCGCAGGTGGTTAAAGATTTGATGGAGTTTGTTAAGTATACTCATGAAATCCCATTCGCTCAGCCGTTGGATGGGAAATTTTTTTGTCGGGGTGGGAAAGTGAATTTTTTGAAACATAGGGGGGTTGAGGATAACAATAATTGGTATTCTGATGGGGTGGGATTAATGCATGTGCCAAGGTGGTTGCCTATTATGCCGGAGATGGGTGGGGAGGAAAAGGGAGAGGAAAGGAAAAGGGAGGGAAAATGGGGGTGTTTGAATGGTGGGATTGAGGGTGAAGGGGAAAAGAGATGGGGGATGGGAATTTGGGAGGGAAAAGTGGTGGAAAAAGAGGGAAGTAAAGAAATTGAATCGTTAAGGAATAGAAAGAAGGTGAAGTTTAAATTGAGGGTGGATGGGAACAGAAATGGTGGTGGAATGGTGGGGAATTATAGGGGTGGTGTGTGCAGGGGTGGTGGAATTGGGAAAAGGGTTCTTTGCAAGGATTGGAGTGGTGGTGGAGGCGAATGCGAATGCGACGAGGAAGAAAATAAGAGGATGATGAAAGTCATGAATAAGATATCAAGATAGCGTGAGAGTAGTCTAAAGTAAATAGAATTGGTCAGAGATAATCATGTTCACTCAAACATCAACTTTGGTGCAACGAGTACGAATTTAAGGAAGTTCCATAATCTGATCTGAGAGATAAAAGGGATTAGAGACAAGCGAGCATCTTGTTATCGAGAAGGAATCGAACTGCAGTTGATGAAGAAAGAAAAACATACTCGCAAATACCATCCGGATAATCTCCACTTGCTGTTATCTGAAGTTTTGGATTTATTTTTGATCACTAGAATTTGGTACCAGAACAGATTTTCTACCTTATTTATGGTCATGATTGATGTTAGACCTCAGAATAAGTGGAACCATGTCTTTATTGTAGTGAACACGTTGAATCTAAGCTTGGAGTAATTACACTTAGCCTCTCCATTACTCTATAAAATAAAACTCTTTAATTTTCATACTTATTTTCACACACATTCGTATAATAAAATATTTTTGATAATGACAGTCACACAGGGGCTTAATTACTACAATTTTTGATGTAGAAAATTTGTTGATACGTAAGAGTGTCTTTCTTTTTTTGATAACTCTGCTATCAAAATTTCGTCCAACTAATTTTGGAGAGTGGGCGGACTTTTCGTCTGGTTTGCCAACTTGATAAATCAGATGCGGTTACAATTTTTACACACTTGTATCGAATATTTTAGAAGCAGCTTCCTCCTCGTGAACCTTCCTTTACAAAGTGTGGACGGGACCCTCGAAGGGTGATAGAGCGCACATGACTTTGTCTTTACATGATATCTGTCTACAAACATAAATTTTGAGAGATGGAATAAGATGGCCAAAAGTAGGTTATAAACTGCTTTTCTTCCCAGTAGAGAGATTTTATTTTTCTCTCTATTTTGTTCACTGCATGAGAAAGTAAATTAACTTTTAAAAAATACTTCTTTTTTTCAATGATAAAACTAAAAAAATATAAAACATGATTCAATGGTGCAGTGTAGTATTTTCATATTGACTAGTTTTTGCCCGTACATTGCTTGAGACGGGTCATTTTGTAGGCAGGGCCGGTCCTGAGAATTTTGAGACCCAAGGCGACTAATTATATATGAGGCCCTTAAGCATATTTTTTTTCAAGGGTAACAATATATACTTACAAAAGGGAGAGAATACGTCGAATGAGCAAGTTGAGACCATTTGTCAACGGTTGAAAAAGAACCTTCGATTTGTAAATACTAAAATCTAGTTAATTAAACAATTTATCTCAATTATTCATTTCAATGATATCTGTCTACAAACATAAATTTTGAGAGATGGAATAAGATGGCCAAAAGTAGGTTATAAACTGCTTTTCTTCCCAGTAGAGAGATTTTATTTTTCTCTCTATTTTGTTCACTGCATGAGAAAGTAAATTAACTTTGAAAAAATACTTCTTTTTTTCAATGACATGATTCAATGGTGCAGTGTAGTATTTTCATATTGACTAGTTTTTGCCCGTACATTGCTTGAGATGGGTCATTTTGTAGGCAGGGCCGGCCCTGAGAATTTTGAGACCCAAGGCGACTAATTATATATGAGGCCCTTAAGCATATTTTTTTTCAAGGGTAACAATACTTACAAAAAGGGAGAGAATACGTCGAATGAGCAAGTTGAGACCATTTGTCAACGGTTGAAAAAGAACCTTCGATTTGTAAATACTAAAATCTAGTTAATTAAACAATTTATCTCAATTATTCATTTCAATGAGAATACGTCATTTAGTCAGAATTTCCTCCAAACAGTTTGACGTACGATTCTCATTAGGACAACTTAAAAGATTTGAGTTCTACAAGATATAATCTATTACGAAATTAAATAAAAATGAACACCAGATATAGCATGGTAAACCCTAAAAGAAACATACACGAACCTAATGACGTGAGTAAAATAATCAACTATCAAAGAATAAAAAATACAATAGTTTCGATTTAATAATTTCGCAAAATTAACTAAAACAATTAAAGGCAAATTACTGCCTTTAGCACCCAGTCAGTCTTGACTGGCGGCTTATTTGAAGTCGGTCCTAACTGATTGGCTTATCCGTTTGAACTAAAACCAAGTTTATTCAAAGAATAAAAAATACAATAGTTTCGATTTCATAATTTCGCAAAATCAACTAAAACAATTAAAAGCAAATTACTGTCTGTAGCACCCAGTAGGTCTTGACTGGCAGCTTATCTGAAGTCGGTCCTAACTGACTGGCTTATTTGTTTTAACTAAAATCAATTGTACACGTTTTTCGCACGTTTTGATATTTAGAAATCATTCTAATTTAAATAATTCAATAAAAAAATAATGAGTAAAAATATAAAATATGTTTTACTTACACAATTAAATATTCATTTTTACATCAACGATATTGATCTCTATATTAATTTTTCTTCTCGACTTAGCTAATTATAGGATCAAAATCACAATAGGAAACCTATTTCAACTATATTTAAGGTATGTCTTTAGCACAGTAGATTCACTAGCAAATTACTTTCAGAAGTAAAAAAAAAAAATAGTTCAAGAAAAAGAATATATTTTCAAGAATCAAGAACATAGAATCAAGGGCAAGAATTCCAAAAATGAAAGGAAAAATCAAGATTACGATTAAAAATTTTACAGATGAAAGTTGATCTTAGAAACAGTCTCCACTATGTCTACCATCTTCAATATCTGGGACATGAACAGCCAAACAACCCCTTGGGCTCAAATGAAGACAAAGAAAACTGTTTCGAAACCATAGCCAAACAATCCCTTGGGCTCTCAATTTCCTCAGCATACTCTATTGGCGACAGTGGTCTCGTCTTTCCTGGAATTCTTCTGATTCCCTAGCATTTCTTTTTAGGCTTTGGTACTGACTGCAAATAGATGTGGGTTGAATTTTTCTTATGAGACCCTCAAAAAATTGGAGGCCCTAGGCCATGGCCTAGTTGGCCTTAGGCCAGGGCCGACCTTGTTTGTAGGCAATGTTAGCACGTTAAATGTATTGAATTCTCTTTTATTCAATTATATTTTTTCTATACAATATTTCATAACTTCATTTGTAATATCAGTAAAATTGTATAGTAAATACACTTTGCCTAACAGAAGTTATGATGACGTCAAATGCAAAAAGATTAGGGTTGGTTAACTCGCATGTAAATTGGAATTTAAGAAAATGTTCTTACCAAATTTTCATATAAAATTACAATGTTATCACCAATTTAATGTTTGAAGCAACAAGTATAGAGCCTCATGGAAGATGACATACTGAAGCTGGAGTACAACTATTAACCAATACTAACATCCATTACTTGCAGTGAAGAGGTCAGCCATACGCCAAAACATGGTGAACTTTGAAGTGCGATGACATGTTTCTAGACTAAGATTCCGATCTATCAACTTAAAGACTCTAGCTTATCTATCTAGCGTCTTGAAACAACTTGTCTCAATGATCTTGAGTCAGAACAAGTAGGGGCAGTTGCCCCCATTGAATTTTGGTCCTTTGTATTTCACTGATTACACTTTAGGGGTAGCCGGTTCTAAAGGCAAGAGAGAAACCTAATAAACCACATCAAAAATTCAAGAGAGATTGTCAAGAAAATTGCATATGAAAACAACAATTTTGGGAATAAATAATAAATTTCAAGAAGATAAGGCTAGACAGAATCTTAGAATGAGACTGTGTTGAAATAGAATTATTTGCAACAATCAAAAGAGTGCAAAATCGGCATATAAATCCCAATAAATTTAAAGCATGTTTTTACCCCAGATAAATATGATATTACGGTTTGGTGATGAAGATGTTGACTTATCCTTGTAGAAATCACTGCAACGCAAGGTAAAATTGGGGCCGAGAGCGTGACGAACATATCCACCCTTTTTCCTTCTTTTACAGTAAATTGTCCTCAATTTTATTGCAGTGCTTCCGTGGAGACAAGGAGACGCGAATGACAACCTTTTAATGCAATTTACACAACCTAATAGCAATTCATAAATTTTATAAATGTCACAGAAAAGATGCAATTAAGCAGAAACTCAGAAAACATAATAAGTATGACAAGCTTTTGATGCAATTTACAGAAACTAACAGCAATTAAAAAAATTTATAAATGTCTCAGCCATTGCGTACCCGTTGAAGGAAAGTCGATCCAATCTCGAGCTACAATGGTCACGTTCAACTACTTTGGTCGAAAAGGCGAAGTAAACGGCACCCATTGAGGCCCTTTTTCTGTCTGGCTACCACAGTCAGAAAAATGCATAAGAACTTCCAGTCAATTCAAATGTAGTAAAGCGGTAATAAAGAATACTTCCCATAGCAATTCACTAACTCAAAAATTACAAAAATTGTACATATCAGTCAATGCCGGAAAACATCAATTAAAAATAAGCTAAAAAGGAAAAGAGTAGTATGCACAAAGAAAGCTCAACAACCAACAACCTATTACAAATTTTACAAGTTACTATAAATAAATAACCAAAATAAACGTACTATATAAACCTATAAATAAAAACATGGATAGTTCAATTAAGGAACTTACTCAAGAAAGAGTGCATTACTGTAGTCAATTACAACCACCAAGAAATACAATTGGACACTATATACAAGAGACGAATAAATACAAATTAGAGTGCATAATTTATCAATAATAGTTGAATGATAAATACTAAAATAGAAACTTTAGGAAAAAAAATACAAAGACTATCTAAAAATTAAACTCTAGAAAATCTAAAAAGAAGAACAAAAATATCATACCTGAAGATAGAACAGTTCAATTGATGTTGAAAATTTTAATGTTTTTACTTTGAAAATGATATCTTGCAACCTAAAAAAAATAGAAAACAAATTCAATATTGACAATATCAGGAATCACTAAAATTATGACAAACTAAAGAAAATTATAATAAAATAAAAAATCGAAATATATGAAGTAAATTGAAGTAAATGAAGAACTGAGAGAGAAGTAACATATTGCAAACTTGTTAGATGTGAACACGAAGTAACACAAATGAACAGGAAAAAAATGTATTTAGCCCAATTGCTTCTTCAATGCTAAATTTCATTTTCATTACTCTATATCCCATAAATGCAATTATGACTTTATTGATTAGAACTTTTGACAAATTGATGTAGATTGAATCTACAAACACACTAACAAACGGATTGCACCTTAAGAAAACAAACGCTTTTCTTATTTCATGAACAACCAAAAACTCAAGAACAGATAACCTACTGGCCAACAGTCCCTCATTAATGAGCTGCGCTACAAAGCAAAATAAATAAATGTTGAAAATAATGAACTAAAAACATTAAGTGTCGTTTTGACTTAACAAACGAATTCAAACGTTCAAAATCTCTCATACGTCACGGCGAAGCGGTGAGTTCAATAGCAATCGTAGTGAGCTTTCCGGAATGGAGTCATAGGCCCAAAACGGACATTGCATGCAGAAGTTATGTCATTTTTCGAAGGCCGACAATCCAAAAGTTCCAAATACGCAATCACTCTTTAGTTTCCATCACCTTTCAATGACTTCCTTTCCTTTATTACTTTTTCCAATTTTACTAAACCGAAATGTGAATCAAAAAGTGTACACACCCCTTTTCGCTTTACCCATCTTATTTCCTTTCTCTCTCCACGACTTTTCTAATTGTTCGGGAAATTTTAGGTTAATAAAAGAAATGTATCTCAAAATGTAGTGAAAATGTTATTGTTAGTACTGTAGTAGAAAAAAAAAAAGGTCTCCATGGAGACACAGAGACATCAGTATGTCTCCGTGCGTGTCTCTATGTGAGACACAGAGACATACAGATGTCTCCATGTCTCCACGAGGACACGCTCTCTCTTTGTGCTGCAACCTGTAATAATAAATGATCGTGTGATATACTTCAAATTGAGTAAATGAGTTATTGAACGAATTGAACGAAAGGATTGATATTGTCACAAACGACTCATAGCAGAAACCATTGAACATGGTCGATGAACCTGCAAAAAATGCCAAGTGGTAATGCTAAGTTATTCAAACAATGGTGAAAGATAAAGAAGAAGTAATCTTCTATTGCATTTTAACAGCCCATCCCAACCAACTGTAAGCTATAACCAGTAATTCGCTCAAAACACAGCAAAGATGAATGATAATAAAACTGTGTAATCAATCGAAAGAAACAAAATAAATTGTAAATAAACAAATCATAAAGAAATCGCCGAGTGATTGAAATCCAAAACACCACACTCAACAAGGGCAAATCATCTGAAGAGATCCCATTATAAGCATAATCAATCTCTTTCCCATCTCAATACGAGATGTAAGTACCAACTGACAACATCTGAAAGTCTCAAAGTATCCATCTAGCCATGTTTTAACAGTTTCTGTATACCTAACGATAGACGGGGAAGAACGAAAACATAAAATTAAACAAAATCGAAAGCCCTTACCCGATGTAGACCATTTTGCCACTTCACGGCGCTACTGAGAAAAAGTGAGAGAGAAAGAGTAGGAAGTCAAAAGCTTTGAGAAGAAGAACGAATTGTAAGATATTTTTACGATAGAAGATATGTGTTGAAGATATTTCATCCATTTAATTATTATATTATATTATATACTCAATTTTAACACCACAGACACAAAAAATGAAAAGCAAACTATTACCAAACCAGTTGAAAAAGAGGTCAAGTGTGAAAACTAATGTGACAAAAATAAATAGTGAATCAAAGATTCCTTCTTTTAAGAGAATGAGAGATATATCGCATATGATATGCATCAATAGTCTTACTCTAACTTCTCAATAAACACGCTCAAACCTATTTTGACGAGCAATGGACAAAGTAGGAAGTATTCACGATCTTGAAAGCAACTACTTAAACTCTAAAATTGAAGTATCGTAAATGTGTGGACTATTATCTTCTAAAGTCGGATACACATCGTCGAAAAGCGGTATGAATATTCATAATTGCTACAACTTTAAAATTTATAACACTAAAGTTGTGTTTGATGTACATTTTTTTAGGAGATAATGCATTTTTTTTTTGTGATGTGATGATGAATACGTGGTTAAAAAAGATGAAAAAATTATTGATGTGATGCAAAATATTATTTTATCGAAAAATGTGTGATTGAAAATGAGAACGTGGCTCAAATGTGGGCTAAGTGAATTATATATTGACTTCTAGAGAAAAAAAATCATTTTATTTTCGAGACTAGAACCAATTAGGCATTGTTTGAGAGGGGAAAAAATGAAATTTTAAATGAGGAAATTACATAATTCCAGGTATTTGAAAATCACAGTGCAAAAATCAGGTAATAAGTTTTTTTAATCAAAATTCAGGTACCCACCTAAGCCCTAATATAATTTCTCTCCCTCATCTCGACATCTCTCATTTCTCTCCTCTCCACTCTCTCTCTCTTCGACGTCGGCGGTCCATTCAAACTCCAGAAACTGACGAAGAAGGGATGCGCCGACCGACACTGCTGGCATCGAGTGATGCTGAGCTGATTCCACCCTTCAGCAAAAAGATCGCTACTGCGAACTAGACGAACGGTGAACGACGAGTCTTGGGCTGTGAATGGTGGCCATTATACACAACAGCAGTATCAAACGTCTCCTCCTGACTCAGCCCACACATCCTTGACTCAACCGACAACCATCCACATTATTTCGTTGAACTCGGACGACCGGCGACACTGCTGCGAACGCCCGTAATCCGGCGTTCAATCCCGCATGTGACCACCGTGTTTTATTTCACCTTCTCTAGCTTCCCACCCGTGAGATCTACGACATTTTGGGGAATTTAAAATTTTATCGTCTCTCTCTTTTTCTGATTTTGTGGTGGCTGGAGTTGGGGGTTGATCTTGTGGTGTATTGAAAGTGCAAATGGCGGTGGCGGACTTGATGACTTGTTGGTGGAGTGGTGGCTGTGGTGCGGTACTTTTGGGAGAGGGGGTCGATTTTGGCAGGCGATAGTTGTGTAGAGGTATGGTGGAGGTACTGTGCACGGTGGCGGTATGTGCCCTTCAGTGGGTGTCGTTCGCGGGGGTGTGCCTTTCGTTGCTGCCGGCTACCGTTCAGTGGGTGTGTGCAGCCAGTGGGTATGTGTGTGTGCTGTGGATGTCTGTACTGTGAATGGCAGCCGCGGAGTGGATGTGGTGTTTGACTGCAAATGTGGTGGTGGTGAGTGTGTGTGCGCTGTGAGTGCGGTGCAGTGCTGTGGTATTGGCGCGTGGGTGTGTGGTTTTTGACCAGTCGTGGAGTGTGTGGTGGGTTGGTAAGTTTAGATCTAGTTTGATGGTGGTGCTGATAGTGGTGATGTTGTGTTCGTGGTGTTGTATTGTTGGTGGTGGTGGTGGTTGTGTTGTGGCGTTTGTGGTGGTGGATCAGCGATTGGGGTGGTAGTCGTGCTGTGTTAGGTGGCTGTGGGTGGCGGCGGCTGAAGTAGTGCCGTGGCATGTGACCAAATATTTGGTTATCTGTGACCAAGTATTTAACTGTGACTTAAAAATTTGACAATATGTGACCGAAAAATAATATGTGACCAAAAAATTTGAAAATATGTGATCAATGAAATTAGCCATTTTTTTATCTGTGACTGTAAAAAAATCTGTGACCAATTAATTTGGAAATCTGTGATTGTGTGATCTATAAATTTTGATTTGTGACCAACTAATTTTGAAATCTTTGATCAACAAATTAATTGTGACCTATAAAATTTTTGAATTGTGACCGTAAATTGTAAATCTGTGATTGGAACGATTGCTAGAATAGTCATCGGAATCGGAGCAGTCGCGGAAAAGAGTGGTCGCCGGAATGATTGCAAGAATAGTCCCCGAAGCGGTAGGGGTGGTGCATGTGGGGTGAGTTTATTATATTATATTATATTATATTAGAATTTAAAAAAAAAACCTGATTTTTGAATTTTCAAACTATAAACATGATTTTTGAATTGATATAAACTAAACACCTTATTTATAAATTTTTCCCATTTTCAATAGTAATTTTTGGAGGATGTGTGGTTAAAAATTAAGAAAAAAATTTAAATTTATGTATAATATTATTTTATTAAAAAATATATGGTCGAAAATGAATTTTAAAAAATAAATTTAAAAAGAAAAATAGAGCTCAAGCACCACCTAGATAAATATAGTGCAAAACGCCGTCTGTGGGAATCGAACCCACGACCACGTGGTTAAAAGCCACGCGCTCTACCGGCTGAGCTAAGACGGCTACTTGTTTATATTTTCTGTTATATCTAACATAAAGATTAACGACCACTGTGAAATTTACCCAGACAGAACAGCCCCTTCTCGGAGCTTCATGCCAGTTCTAGAGGTTCCATTGCTCCCTTTCCCTTCTATTTGAAACCTCTTGGTATTCACACCCCTGCGTAACAGAAAAACCCTAGAGAAGAGAACTTTTCAAAATGGAGCCTCAAATCGTGGACATGCGATCAGTTGTGGAAGCAGTTTCTGCGGAAGATTCCGACGCTCCTCTCTACGAAGTCGAAAGCCTCTGCATGCGTTGCGGCGAAAACGTAAGCACCCCACTATTGACTTGGATTACTCTATCGTTGCATCAGTAGTTGTACCATACTTTGCCTGGAGATGAGCTTTTTTCTTTCTTGTTTGTCTATTGTAAAGTTGTATGAATTCATTATGCATTATTGGGGACACTGGAGTTGATGTTACTCATACTTCTTAAATAATATTACCGTATGAATTAGTAATTGTACCTTGCTTTACCTGCAAAAGAACTTTCTTTCCTTCTTATTTATCCATAAAAATCCGTATGAATTGTTCATGCAATACTGGAGTTTTATAGTACTCATTGACTCCATAGCATTACCAAATGCTCTTTTATTTGTTCTATTGAGAGTTTTTTGAAATATGGGAAACCTGAAACTGTCAATGGTTGTGCTATATGTACATAACTATATGTACATAATGGATTAGATATGATTGAGTTAGAATATTTTTAACAAAAAAATAAAAATAAAACTTACTCCTCTCTTTTTGACACGTCATCTGTACATAAACTATTATGTAGCTTCTCATGTATAAGTTGCATTATTCAACCACTAATGATTTTATTGGAAAGTCATATTTGGCAACAGAATTTTATAATGGATTCCGATATTTTTCTTTTCTTTATTTCACCTTGATTACTTAAGATGAGATAAACCGTGCCAATACTTTTACAAGGTCTCTGACATATACTATTTTTTGACTGAACAGGGGATAACAAGGTTTCTATTAACACTAATTCCACATTTTAGAAAGGTATATAACACCTTACTTGGTAAGCTAACTACTTTCTAGTACAACTTTATTAGTATCATTTGTAAGCTGGACGCTAATTAGAATAAGTTTTATTAAAGATCAGAGTTTGAGATTAATCAAAACCCAAGTTACTGTTTAGGCATAAACTGATTTTCTCTTGATTTATATGAAATGTGATTGGAAATCTTTATATCTGGTTGCAGATATTGTTGTCAGCCTTTGAATGTCCACATTGTGGTGAGAGGTAGTTGATCACTTCTTTCCCTGCACTAAGTTTAGATCAGTCGATCCTTTTGAAACATTCTCTTAATCTCTTTATCTGGTCTCTGAAGGAATAATGAAGTGCAGTTTGCTGGTGAAATCCAGCCTAGAGGTTGTCATTACCATCTGCAAGTTCCAGCAGGTGATCAAAAGGTTGTGTTCTGAGGAGCCTGATGTTGTGGGGGTAGACTTTTCTATTGATTATTTTGTTGTCTTGTAAAAATGCTTTCCTGAAGTTTCCAACGGTGAAGATAATGAAGTTTCAAGCTTCATCAGATGTAGTAATAAAATGTTTGGCTACATAATTTTTAGTCTAAGAGGTTTTTTATAGTTCAATGATTTGAACTGGACGAAATTTTATGATATTGATATTATGGTGTTGCACATTTTATGCATAAATATTGAAGGATACTGTGAGATGTAGAAAAAAATTATTTTTGTTTAGCAGCCTAAAGATCTTTCTCCTTGGCTTAAATCTTTTTGATTTAAATTTTACTATTTTCCCTCCCAATTTTATTTGAGTAAATTATGCCTTTCTTGGTTTTTTGATTAAATATCTTACGTTTTATCTTTGCATAAGGTTGAGTCTTTAACCAGATGTATGATGAGTTCTGGTCCAACTTGGTTTTTGTTTTCCAGTAAAGCACTTACTGCCACCATCAACTCTTTTGTCCCTAGTGCACCCCTAAACCATATATTGTCATAATATATGCTGTCATTTCATTTTTTTTTCTTTTTTTATTTGCACTTCTTCAGCCCTCTGTCTCTCTCTCTCTCTCTCTCGTGTGCAGTAGTTTGATCAATTTTCCAATGTTTCTGGACTTGAGCATTATTATGGGTGCTAAGCTGGTTGGTTTCTCAATGCAGGTGCTTAATCGTCAAGTTGTGAAATCAGAAACTGCCACTGTTAAGGTATTTTCTCTTTGTACTCGCTGAACGGTTGTCAACAGCACCTTTTAGTCGCAGTTTTTCTCACAGTGATGTGTATTGGGGTTAATCACACTATATATATTGAATCTTAGTTAAGAATTGATTACAATTTTTTTTTATGAGGCTTTACACCAACTCATTTTAATTTTTATTTGTGTAGATACCTGAACTGGACTTTGAGATACCTCCTGAGGCACAGCGTGGATCTCTGTCAACGGTATATCCCTGACAACTTCCTCACAGTTGATATTTTTTCCAAGGTTTAAAAAGGTGAAACTAAGTACTGAGGCGGTTTTTCTTTATGAGGCGATACGTTAGCCTCAAGGCAGATTAAGGCGTAAGTCTCACAAAAAACAAAAAATCTAAGGAAAAAGAATTATAAAATAGTACAAAAAAATCAAAGTTGGAGCATATAGTAAATATGATATATAATCATTAGCATATTGAGATGGAGTTCATCTAAAGAAAGAAGATGTTTAGCAAAAAAAAGCATTACAAAAGTTAGAAATCATTCAATTTGTAATGGAAAAAATAGCTTAAACTAAAAAAAGGGCCTAATAATCTGCACTATCATCACTATTACTAGCATCGTTAATGGAATTATCATCATATCTAATTTTCCCATCATTTTCCTCTTCGCTACTCTCAATTTCTGATTTTTGAATTTCTATTGAATCTGTTCCTTTTTGATCCTCTAATTTCTGGCTGCCGTTTAGTTTTTTAGGTATTTTATTGTTTTGTTTGGGCCTAAAATGCATTTTTAAATGGTCATTTTCTTTTTTAAGAAGGGCGTTTCTGATTTCTTTTCATACAATTGAAAAATCAAATTTTATATGACTCCATGAGGCGCACGCCTCTAAGATTTAGAGGTGTGAGCCTCATATTTTTAGCCTCAAAAATACTGCATCGTGGCATACATGCGCCTCACAATGAGAGGCGCGCCTCACTACTGCCTTTTTAAACCATGATTTTTTCTTCATTGTTAATATTTCTAAAGTTTCACTGGTCTGTTGAAATGGATCATGCATACAGCAAAATATTGGTACAGAACCTTTGCATGAGCTTTCCTAAGATAAGAACCGTTTGGTCTTCCTTAAAGAAAAATGGCATGGAAATGTTTTGTTCGGTTTTATAGGAGCAAAAGCTAAAAGAGAAATCTTTTTCCACTTGTAATGTTTTCTGAAATATACAGTGTGATTATTTCTTATTGATTTTATCACTGTCAGAATTGGTATTAAATTGACATTTCTTACTGAACTAATCTATTTTTTAAGTGAACTCTTTTCATAATAACCCTTATGGTCTTTATATTGGTTAAGCTACAGTCCTAGAAAATCCAAGTTCTGACTTGCTGAGTCTTTTTCCTCGCATTTGGTTGTTTTCTGTTACTAACTTAGATTGAAGGGATATTGGTAAGAGCTGCGGATGAATTGGAGGCTCTTCAGGAAGAACGGAAGGTACAATTTTGTTTGCATTGTCATTTGGTTGTTATATGTTATCATCTTCTTGTTATTATGGTGATCTAACTTCTGTATATATCAGAAAGTGGATCCCCAGACAGCTGAAGCGATAGATCAGTTCTTGGTGAAACTGAGAGCTTGTGCCGCTGGAGATTCACCATTTGCTTTCATTCTTGATGATCCTGCTGGTAACAGCTTCATTGAGAATCCGTAAGAGACCTTTTTCTTTATCTAAAACAAAAAAAAAAAAAAATGGTGAAATCTTGTACGTTTGTCAGTTAAAAACTGGATTTCTGTATTCTTAACTGCTATTTGTCATCCAGAAACTATGTGCTTGTTTAAGTTTCATTATAAGTCACTGAAATTATAGTGATAGAAATGAGTGTGGACAAGTGGGTTGTGGGTCATACGGGATGTGTTAAAGTTAGACTTTGATTTTTAAATTATAAGGTGATTATAATGAAAGGAGAACAAGCTTTAAAATTAAAAATCCTGCACAATTATTTAACTGGGGAAGGTTCTTTCACTTTTTGCAGTACATTATGTTAATTCCATCATTCATATTTGTATGCTATACTTGATAAATGACGTTGATAAGGACTATCTGACCTCAAATAGGCTTGCTCCATCTCCGGATCCATCATTAACCATCCAAGCCTACGAGCGAACTCGTGAGCAAGTTGCTTCATTGGGGTATCTTGCGGGAGAACCCACTACCGAAACATCAGAAGAAGGGACAAACAACGTCTCTGATCAAATTCAAAGAGAACCACATGGCTCTGTTGGAGCAAGAGCTGGCCGCCGAGCTATTGCTCAGGGTAACAGTGCAGAAATTGCTGAAACTCTATTTCGATATTCTGCACCGGAGGAGGTATATTTTATCAGACATGAAAGTTAAAACTTATATTTGCGCACTGGAGTCATGTCGATTGATGGTGTTTTTTCCTGGACAGGTCATGACTTTTCCATCAACTTGTGGAGCTTGTGCTACTAAGTGTGAGTGCCGAATGTTTGTGACAAGTATCCTTTTTAATGTCTTCTCTACCACTGGATGCAGATAGCTGACAGCCATTTGTATTTAAATTTAGGATGTACAATGTTATGACACGTATTCACATAAATTAGTTTCTGAGGCAAGTGACATAAATGTTGCTCGAGTTATTTGTCTCTGTTCACCTGGTGATTAGAAATGAAATAGAAGGGGAAATATTGTGAATGGCTCTTTTAGCTCTAGCTGGGGTAAGGAAATAATTGCGATTTACTCTATTTGCTGCATTATAGTAGAGATGATAAAGTCTTTTGGTTAGATTTGTGGTACTTCACACATTGTATTTGAATAATAGCAAGGTATTTTCCCTTTTTTTTTTCCTTTTAATTTGAGCCATTCAAATATGTGAGGTTGAAGGAAAAGTATAAAGGTCTGTTAATGCAAATCTATTTTGACTTCCTTTTTTAGGTAAAGATACTATAAAAAGTGACCGGTGAATGGTTGCATCTTCTTGATATATAATTTGATTTTTCAAAGAATTACCTCAATTTGGTTTTTGTGCTTGAGGAAAAGTTGACCATGATGTTTCTACTTTACATTCATCCACGAGATATGTCAGCTTAACCAGAGTCAGACATTCCATATTTCCAAGAAGTGATTGTCATGGCATCCTCTTGTGATGCTTGTGGTTACCGTAATTCAGAGGTATGCGTCTTTGTATATTTACTCTAGTTATCATTTATGATTTGAATTATAGTTACTATACCATGCCTTTGGACTGATGGTTTTGTGGTTTATTTTTCAGGTGAAACCTGGTGGGCGTATACCTCTGAAAGGAAAGAAAATCAAAGTTTATGTGAAGAACATAAAAGACCTTAACCGAGACGTGATAAAGGTATATATTTGGTCTGGTTAAGCTTTGCTAGTTTTTTGAATTACTGTTTCAGACCACAATCTTTTGCTATTTGAAATCTGAAATGCTCCTATATTATTTGAATTTTATGAAATTTTTGTTCTAGAATGGGGCACTACCCGCAGGCAACTGCAGTCTGCCCCCTCATACTTTAGTCCAAAATTTAAAAACATGAGGAATGTAAAAAAACACACTGAAAAGATAGTGCATTAGATTTAGATATCCTTCTCAGTTTGCCGAAACATGGCATAGAACTGCACAATTGCTTCCCTTTCCTTGAGTTGTAGTTTTATTGTTTATATTCACACTCTAGTTTGAACTTGTTAGAATGCTTAATAGTACATGATTATAGTGTAATGGTCTTATTGGCCTTTCTGTTAATGTGTTTCTTTCTTTATGCTCTAAAAACCCTTTGTACTTGCTCGTTTAACTTAAAATTAGACAAAACGTTATAAGTACGAATATTTATTGCTTTGTGTACTGTTTTGCGTTGGTATCTCTTACAGTTATTTTTTAATTAATGATCATCTGGTTCATAATAGTCAGATACTGCTAGCATAAAAATCCCAGAGATTGATTTGGAATTGGCCAGTGGCACTTTAGGTGGACTTGTGACAACTGTTGAAGGCTTGATTTCCAAGATTAGTGAAAGTAAGTATCTTTGACCATTTTTTTCGGTTATTTTTCTCCCCTCTCAGGCCTTAACCATCCCCTTTTGAGCTAAATGAGTGGAGGGTAAAAGCTGAGGGGTGAAGCAGGGTATGGGATGGGGTTCAGTTAGAGAAATAACAGTACAGGCATTACTCGATGGCATCCGAACCCCCCTTTTTTGGAGAGCGAGAGATTATATATGTGCTGTAAATTCATGCACAATGGTGGTCTTAATATGTGAATTTTTAACATGACATTGTTGCTACTTATTGTGACATCAACAATCTCAAAACATGGTTTTGATGTTTAAATTGCAGGTCTTGAGCGAGTACATGGGTTTACTTTTGGTGATAGTCTTGATGATACCAGGAGGAGCAAGTGGAAGGAGTTCAGAGCAAGACTTGACAAGGTTTGTGCTCTGTATAATTTCGTTTTCACCTAACCATGTATCTGAGGCCATTGCTTCCTAATGTCTTGCAATTAAAAGCACCTTTATATGTATCAGCTCAACTAAATGGTTTCCTACTTTCTACTCTTGCCAAGCCAAACTGCATAATTTTACTCTACCATATTGTTTTCTGTTGTTATTTTTTACACTTGAACAATCGAACTCTCAAATGGATGCACATAACTTGACTGCAGTCTTCACTGACTTGAATGTAATGTTCAGCATGATATTAGTTGGTTAGGATCCACTGTGCACATTAATTAAAAGAAACAAGCTCGGTTGAATATTACTAATCAATCCGTTATGAGGGAGTTCTAAATGTATTTTTACATGGTGCATCTATTCTCGTCAAGGAAAAGTAACCGTAGCTGACTTTATCTATTCTCGTCAAGGAAAAGTAACCGTAGCTGACCCGTAAAGTCATATATTTGAGTGAAATTGAAACCATGGAAAAATGAATGCACGTGCTGTTATCTTCCTCTTTTCATGGGAACTCTCTCCTCCCCATTGTATCATTCCCCATGATGATTTAGTGACAGTTGTTATCCTCCTAAGTTCATGTCTTTTCTCACCTCTGAACATCTTTCCTCGTATGCTGTAACTATGTCTCTCTTCGATCACGTTCATTTGGTATCGTTTAAGAGTAGCATTATGTCTTCGTTTGGGCAGTGATGACTGACATTGTCCAAATTAATGCATCCTCTCCTTAGTTTTTCCTTCAAATATCTAATCTCATCTCTACGTTTCCCAGCGCCCATGGAATGGTTAATTTGCCTCCTGAAAGTTGATGAAGACGTAAGCGTCCAGTGGATTCGTTTTGCAAAAAAATGATAACACCTCAGTATTTGAAAATCTTGTTGAAGCAAAATTTCACCCATGCTATATGTTAAATAGTTCACTTGTTTCTGCACTTTCCATAGTTTGAAACTCTGCCCCGCCATTCTGAATATGTTGAACCAGATTTTCTTGAATATATGAAGCTTAGCTATCAATATGTGACTGTCTTAGGCAGTCTTTCCATTTTTTTTTTTGTCTATACACAACTGGGAACTCATTGAATTACAACTAGGCTTGAGATGGATCGTGATGCTGCTATTGGCAATTTTCAATGCAATTGTGGTTTAACCCTAAAATATGCAGTGTCAATTATCAATCAACTCCTGCCCCAGCAAGTGCACTGCTTCTTCATCTCTACGGCGGTGGTTCTGTCTTCAACGTCTTAGAGAAACACCTTGGTGCCCTTAGCCAATTTGAAGAGAAGAAATATTTACTTTAATTGAATGCATTCATTCATTTGTTGACCGATAGGGCCAGGAGTTGAAAGCCGCTTGAAGGAGTTGACGAGGTTTAATAGGTCCCACGATGAACGAACAGTAGCGGAAAGGCTCGAGCCAAGATCATAGGATTATACCTTTTGAGACTCGATTTTCAATCGTATAACAGTAGCTACGATATCTCAGTATGGCTGTACTGATGGCAGCTCTTTCTTTTTCTCCTTTTAGACTCGCTTAACTCACGCTTGGCTTTGCCCTGGCGAGTCGGACAGGGTATGAAGTTCTGTTCTGGATAAAGGCAGCGACAACGATTGATATAGGATTAATAACTGAGTTAGTAGCTACGGTATCTCAGTATGGCTGTACTGATGGCAGCTCTTTCTTTTTCTCCTTTTAGACTCGCTTAACTCAAGCTTGGCTTTGACCTGGCGAGTCGGACAGGGTATGAAGTTCTGTTCTGGATAAAGGCAGCGACAACGATTGATATGGGATTAATAACTGAATTGAGTCTCTAAGCAGTAATCAAGTAAACCCTCAAAAGATGTGCACAAGAGCTAAGCCTACTTCCCTAGCTACTTTCCTTATTCTTACTACTGTCTAGCTAGGACTGACTGCATGTTACCAAGCATTCCTACTCTCACTATGCTTAGGGCATCGGATTCGTGCATTCTGGTGCATCGTTATTTCTTTACTTGCATGGATGTTCGTACTATTGGAAAAGTGTCATTATTCATCTAATCTCAGATGTAAATGAACAATAAATTCTTTCTAGAGCTAGAGGAGTGAGGCTAAGCTATATGCTACCCTATCTTATGAAACCTGAAATGAAAAATCTTGAGACACGGCTGGAACAGAGGGGTACTTATATCTTTAAAGGTTAGCCATCTGCTACTAATAAGAATATAATTCCTTAAAGACCTTCCCCTTCTTTAGGTTTAGGGGTGAAAGAAAGCGCATTTTAACTCCTCCCTTATCGTTAGCCCTACATGGGAAAGCAGTTGGCCGGGTCTTTCCCTGTTTTTCTGTTCCCTCCACGAGAAAGAAGCACGTAAGAGGTATGCCCAGCACGCAGAGGATCCGTTGATGACTACTTCAGCATATTTTCTCATAGAAGTGATATGGAACCATATCTTTGAATTTGACTATAAGGACACCCCAGTCAGTTCGGACTCATTTCTGTGGTTTAAGTGGTCTTGGGCGGTGCATTATTGCCTAGAGATGTACCACTCAGTTTGATTGTTGTTTTTGTTGTGGTGTTATCTTGGAAATTATTTGGAAAGCCTACTGTTGTGTTACAAGATATAATATCTCGTCACTTGAACTTAATTCCCTTCTTCATGCTAGGTTTTTTTTTCCTTCTACAGCTAAAAAACTTGGATGAACCTTGGACTTTGATAATTGATGATGCTCTGGCCAACTCCTTTGTTTCCCCTGTAACTGACGATATAAAGGATGATAATGAGTTAACATGTAAGTTCCTTTTTCCCTGGCTACAATGAACGTTCTTTGATATAAGGTTGTGTAATGCCTGTTGATTTTTTTATTTTTCTAATGATAGGGTCTATTCTCTCGGGGGTATAGCCTGCGCAATCATAAGCGTTTTTTAATGGCATGATTTGACATTTGAAGTCAATTGGTGGAAAAAAAAGATATTACTTAACAGAATAAATTATTTTCATTTTTGTAAAAATTCAACAAATGCTGCAACTTGAGAAAATATTCGAGAATCAGAACTCAAATGAGTCGATGTTAAAAACTGTCTGGTTGACGTAATAAAGTCTATCTTGCACCACTTGAAATGGAGGTTGCGAGTACGACTTGGGTAGGAGAAATATACTTTCTGCAGTAGTCCTGGTAGGGTGCACCTTTCTCATGATACATTTATTCTCGGAGAGTTAAATCTTGCTACGAAATCATCGTCTAGTGAAGTTTCCACTGGGAAAAATGCAATCTGAATCATAGAACCTCCCCTTCATTTTTCCAATAATTGTCAGACTCCATTTTCTTTGCCATGTTACCACATCAAGAGAGTCAAGTTTCACCAGAAATGTGTTAGATGCCAAATGCAAAATCTTATAGAGTGCAGTCATGAAAGTTATGTTAACACTTGAACCAACTTCCTTGCAGTAGTTAACCGTGAGCACCCCAAATTTCAACGAGCAACATAAATCATAAATTTGGGGTGGGGGTGGTGGGTTATCAAAGCACTTCAATTTATGTTTGTGAGGCAAGGCTGTCTTCGTAAATTGGATTTTTGGAATTCCCTCAATTTATTGACATTTTCTTTTGATTGCTAATCTTGCAATGAATTATGCTACATGTACAAAATTGGGTTACAAAGTTGGTTGACAAAATAACATCTACACCAACTATTTTAAAAATAGATTTTTAAATCACTTGAAATCAACTGTCTGCATTTTGCCAACACACTTTGTAACCCAATTTATTTACACCAATCATTTTAAAAACAGATTTTTAAATCATTTGAAATCAATGGTCTGGATTTTGCCAACACACTTTGTAACCCAACTTTTGTAACTCAACTTTGTACAAATAGCTTTATATATTTTGCAATATCTTGACGCTCTTTAGCATTTAGATATCTTTTGCCATTTCCCTTGCGCATTCTTGTTAAGTTGCAATAACTTGTATAATATTGGCGGAGATTTGTAATGCATGATGTGCAGTTGAGGAATACGAGAGGTCATGGGAGCAGAATGAGGAATTGGGCCTTAATGACATGGACACCTCTTCAGCGGACGCAGCTTATGGTTCGGCAGATGTCGAGTCATCCAAGGATGGATGAGCCGTTGTCACGAGTTTTGACCTTTTTCTCTATTGTTTTAAATTATATGAAAAGTATTTTTTACAGGCATGGCATTCTGTATCGCTCTCAGGTTGCAGTAGTAGTTTTTATGTAATGCATAGTGGTTGGCAAAAACTGGTGTTTTCTTCATAACTGAACTGTCTGATTGAGAATTTCACAGATGTAATCAGTGATCTCCACAATTTCGTTTTGGCCACAATTTTACGAAAGGTGAAAATTTCGCCAGAGAAACTTGGGTTTAATATGAATATCGTTACTTTAACAGTGCTAGTGATGGCAACGGGGCGGGTTCGGGGCCACGCCACTCCCCCGTCCCGCCCCGAGCCTGCCCTAGATGGGGCGGGTGCGGGGGTGCGGACTTGCCTTACCATGTTTCTTGCCCCTTTTTTTTCTTTAATTTTTAGTTAAAATACAAATTCAAAATTTTAAAATTTAAAACAAATAATGTTCAAATTAATTACATCAGTATCCAAAGTAAGCATACGAAACAAAAAATGTCCAAAACAAATTTTTTTTTTAATTCTTCATGGGCGGGTTTTACCCCGCCTCGTGACCCGAGACAGGGTGGCGAATCTAGCCCTGCCAACCCGTTTGGGGCGGGGTCCTGTTGGGACGGGACGAGAAAAATTTACATCTCTAAACAGGCTACATTTGGACTTGAATTAAAGTTCAAGTTGCACAAAGTTGAAGTTTACTGATAGTTTGGATGTCAACATGTATTTAACCCCTTTTTTAATGCTAAAACAAAAATCTAAAAATCTACATAATAGGAAAATTTACTTCCAAGAAAAATTATTCGTGTACTTTTTGAGGGATTAAATTAGTAATTATTACTGTAGTTGAAAAAAATATAAGATATGAAAAGCGCGCGGGGAAAAATTAGGGATTTGTAACAGTTGAGAAACTCTCGACTCGGAGGAGCAGCGATAAGAGGAATGGACGGTGGAAATGAGGGATCTCCACTTTTACGATCACAGACCACCGTCGATCTGAGTCGGAACGATGAGGCAGTGGCGGACCTGACGGGAAAAATTCATCAGCTACCATGCTGCATCAAGTACGAAGGTTCTACCTCCGTTTCTGACTATTTCAAGCCCAAATCCTCTGGTATGACAACGTTCGAACACGAACTCACGATTTGTGAAATGTTGCTTGTAGTTTTCTTTGTTGCATTTGATAAAAAAAAATGATGAATTAAGGGAGAAAATGACGTGTAGGCATGGAAGTGGATGGGTTAAGAGTGGAGGAAGCATACTTCAGAGGAAGGAAATTACATGGCACAACTCTTCCCCTTCCAGACGGCTATTCTGGTAATTCTCTTATCTCATTTTATGTATCTTTTCATTTTATTTTTGCGTATTTTATTAGAAAAAACCTTCCAGGTTCAATATTGATACAGTTGTTACTTCTAGGATTACATTTCTCTTTCTTTTTTATTTTTCTAAATGTGTATGTTTTGTATTTATGGCGTCTACGAAGTATAAACCAAAACAATTGGCTTATTTAAGCCTTTTTTCTGCAGTACGAAAGGTTGCACTGCTGAAAAAAGACATATTCCCTCATTTTTTTTTCCTTTAAAGCTCCGCCAAACATGCACCCATTTGTCTACATTTTTATCTACCTTGCTCTTTGTATTTTGCCATCTATAGAATGTAAAAAGCTAATTTTGAACCAGGATATTATCAAATGAAATGGCGTGAAAAAAAACTTGACTAAACAGAGAAAGTAAAAGACAATATGGCGAATAATGCTAAAGGAAGAGGAAAACTAGTTATCTGCTTAATTATTTGCTATATGGGCAGTCCATGGCAAATTTTAGTTATCTAAATTGATATTACTCCTGAAACTGATTCTGTATGTAAGACGATTTGTTTGCTTTCTCAAGAAGATGGGTAATCCTTTGTGTGAAAATTTAGTAGATAGAGACTCAATAAATATTTTCCCTACGCCACTGTATTTTTGTTTTCAGCTTACAGCAAATTTTATGTTTATATGTGCTTTAATCTGATAAATTGCTTTATCCTGTTTGTTTTAAATGTCTCATCATTGCTTCACAGGTTTCATCTTAGGAATGAAAAGTTATGATGAGAACACTAATACTGAAACTTCATATTGCTGGGAGGCAAATGCAAAGTTTCATAATATAACAGTATGGAATCATGACAGCCTTCCTTCTAATGATGATGCATTCTTGCGCACCTTTCACTGGTTTGCTGTTTCGAAAGCAGTAAGTTCTTATTTGACTTATTTGACCAGACACTTGATGGATCCGAAGATGTCATCTCAGCTTACTTCAATTTTATAGAATATTGCTTGTTTATCAGGCATCCCTGTGAATGTCCCCGTTTTACACTTCTGAGAAACTTGTGTGCACTTGTTGAATTGGTTCTCTGAAATAATTATTTAAATTATGACAACAAGTTCTTTAAACATTGACTTATTTTCTGGTGTAAATACTTTTCCTAGGAGCACAGCCTAATGTTATAATAGTTGATTAGGGCTGGTGAAATCTGTCCCTTAGTAGGTTTTAGGGTTGGGCTGAACCTATACGTCACTGAGATAATGCCACTATTTGTCTAGCGAGACTATTCTTTTGGTAGCCCAGCCCATTCTTTCGAGTTCTTGATTGATTGAATAAACATTGAATAGCATTGGCCTTTTTCTGTGTTTTGTTCAACTTGTTCGGAATGATATAGTTTTTTCTCGTCTTTCTGTTTTGTTAAAGGTGATATCTTAAAACTATTCGGATAGGAAACGAATCGATGTGGTTTAATTTGTGAAAAAACCTTCAACCGCGTTCTTGAATTTGCTCTCAGTTTAGTTTTTATATGCCGTTCCCATCATTCCTTGAACAGAGCTTTCGAAGTTGTGATTCAGCTTGGACATTTGTTTAGCGGCCCAAAGAGGAATGCTAAGAGCACTTGCAACTGCATGAGTGCACAAATTTTGACCATCCAAAGAGCAGAGAGTGCATATTTTAAATTCCATACATTGCATTTACCTGGTGTGTGTTATTGTTATCAATGGTCCAGATTTATTACTCTTGCAACTGAGACTGCCGGGCATTCTTCTTCGGGAGGTCTTTTTAAGTTCTAATTAGGTCAGCATGTACATATACAACTTTTCAGAACTCTATAGTTGAGCGTGCTTTGGGGGAGAATAAAACTAGGATGGGAGACTGTGAGGATGTTCTTGTGTTTTATCCCAAAAAAGAATGAGAGCATTTTGATGTGCTTGAGAGTAAATCAAATTTCCCTATTTTGCAAACATGATTCCAAAGTTGATTTCCTAGAAAGTAAATCTCAACTTACTCTAGAAAAATGACTTTTAAGCACATTCAAACATGCTCTAATTATGTACACCATCAAGTAGGTTCACATCCTCATAAACATATAGAACTACACAGTAGCTATACAGATGCTGTCAATTCCACAAGATATGATGATTAAATTTCAAATGCTTGATTTACATCTTCTCGAGTTCTCATTTTTATTCTACAATGATAATTAAGATTTGATTATACTCAATAATATTAGTTCACGATGAAGGCTAATAATCTCTTGGCTCCCCAATTTTAATGATTCTAGTTATGAATGCAGCTGCACCAAGAAGTCAATGACGTAGATTTGGAATCCCTTCCAGTCGATCAGGACCTGGTGTAACTCGGAGATCTTTCTTCAGCTGCACTCCGGTGAAGTACTTTGGTTAATTTGTACTTGCGGGATGGGGATGTAGTATTGAAGCTTAAAATTTAGCTAACCTACGGGCTATGGGCATTGTATGTAGCTTACTCTTTGTTCATCCGAATTGAAATTTCAGCAATTTGTCTCTCTTTGCCAAAGACATCATTGAACTATCATCTCTTGATGCTTGTCGCTGCTGAGCGTATTTGGCTAAGATTTTAAAAAGGTGTATTTTTGTTTGACAATACGACTCTTTTAAGCCTAGCCAAAAAGGTTGATGCCAAAATTAAATGTCGAGCAGTTTTGCAGGAAGAGAGATTCAAATTCAAAATTAAACTTGAATGATCATGTACACAGCGTCATTCGACGATTTGTGATGAAATGCATGATGTTAACAAGATTATGAACAATGTTAAAGGTATAATTGAGTGATTTGATTAGTAGAAAACGATTGATGTAAGTAACATTTCGTAGCTATGTCTAATCTGTCTCTGGTGTTGGGAAAAAGCTACAAAATTTGATTACTACATTAATCAATCTCCATGTGATAATTTGTTTTGAGTTAAGACATGATTTGTCATTTGAAAAGCTTCTTTAACTACTTCATTGTAGACACTTGATCGAAATGCTTATAAATTATTCAAATTATTAAATCGCTAGTCTGGTAAAATAATTCATGTTACACTTAAAATATATGCTTTGATCAGCCAGAAAATCTTCATTTTCCATGAAATTAGGGATGCATACACGTTCGCAAGCAGACATGCCACGTTACATGACAACATTATTTATATGCCTTGCTTTCTGTAAACTATGCCTGGGTATTTGTGCCTTTGAAGCGGGCGATAACATTTTTTCCTATACTTATTTTTAATCACAGTAAAGTAATTTTGCACGTGAGCTCATAATTTTTTCTATGTGTAATTACACATGCTAAAAAAGTTATTTTCCACAATTCATTCCAAAAAAATCTCGACCAAACGAGCTTAATCTCGACCTAAAACATGGCTTTTTTTTGTATGTGTGGGATGTTAAAGATCAGTCACTTGGTAAAAGCGTGGATTGACTACGTCAAACAGTCCATCTTGTACGATCGAAAAAATTAACACGTAATCAGATTTCAAAGGAAGATTATCCGCTGCTGACCTTAAGCCATTGGAAACTTTATGTCCTAGTCAACTATTGGATTTTAATGTTCAGCAAGTATAAATTTCGAGACAAACGCTGTGTACAAAATTGGGTTACAAAATGAGGGTGTCAATGTCAGATTAATAATTTTAAAAGCAGTTTTCGAAATCAATGATCTAGATCTTACCACACTCATTTTGTCAAACAATTTTGTAACCCAATTTTGTATACGTAGCATTGCTCAAATTTCAATGGCTTTAGGCTACTAGGCATCCCATTTTATATATTTCTTTAAAATATTTTATTATCCAAGTGTCAAGAATGTAATCAAACAACACAAAAATGAGAGTATCTCAAGAGTTGGATGAAACACATGATTCTCCACCCTAGTTGGTTGGAAAGATTGCACAACTTTTCTTTATCCAAATATGATTATCAATCCAATATTCAAATATTTCATTATCGAGGATTTAAGGAATTAAATTAAAAATATAGAAATGAAAGTATATCGAGGCTTCAATGAAACACTTACGTGATCATCAATCCATGCCCCTGATCGTATAAAATTAAAAATTATAGAAAAAATATTTTTTTATTAAGACAAAATCAAACGTTAATTTCAACAATATATTTACATATTTTTTATTAACTATATATTTTCTGGGATTCAATATTATTTATTTTAAAAAGTTACTAATAATCTTTCTTGAATACAAATTTGATTGCTCTTATTTCTCGAATTATTTAAAGATTATAATTAAATTGTAGAGTTTGGTTCAATCAGCCATTAATTAGATGCTATATTTGACCATCATGAATACCGTACTACAATTAATCAACAAGAAGAAAATTACACCCCTAATTTGTCAAAGTCTAAGAAAATAAGGATGCACCTAATTAATTTGACATTAGGATATTATATTAAAATCCTAAAAATGATGATTTAGTTAGCATTTCTTGAATGCAGTAAGGTAATTATTGAATTAATGACCACAAAATCAACAAACACATAATAAAAGTAGAAGATTTTAACATATCATAGAGACACTTATTCATATAAATTAATGATGTAAAAAATATAATATATAACTTGAAATGGATGCATAAAAGACTAAATTCATGCAATTCTAATCGACATGAGATGACATATATACACTCTTTAGCAAATTACTTATAATTAAGGGAATTGATCTATGTGCAATAATAATAACAAGATATATAATAATGTTCAACAATAAAAAAATTACAACTATACTCAGAAAAATTCGTGTAATATAATTAGAAAAGATTCTCTTTCTTTGTGTATGCCTCTACCTTCTTCATTTATATTCATACCATGTTCGGGTTGGTACTTTGGTCACGCCGTCCCCTACATGATTGGAGATGGAAGAATTGCCTCTCCCTTCTAGGGCATCAACCTCAAGTTTGATTACATTAGGTTCAGATCGAGCTGGGTAATGAAAAGTTTGATAAAGAATTCTTATTTTTTCCCCCTTCTTTCATGCAAAACTTGACAGATAGATTGACAACATAGAAAGAGGCAATGCATTTGGTTAATCTGGAATCACACTGACAAGCACACCTTTACTGAAATCTTGCAGTAAAATGTGAGATTAACTGATAATTTAACTTTTACTGCACTGGCTAGGCCTCTAGATATTATATATTTTGTTAAGGTGACAGAATTTACACCCTCAGCAAATATTTATGAGGTCAAGTTGGGTTAACTCGTATAAACTTTACTGTTTCTTGAAAAATCTCAATATAATATTTATAAATTGACCAATAGCATGCCTTTCTCGTGTTTCGGAAACTCTTAGACAATTTATATACTCACCTTGATTTCCTCAGCTTGAAAAAGATGGATAATATATATTTATTAAGATCTAGGTTTCCATCTTAAAAGGGCAGTAGTAACTCAAGTGGTTATATGATGATTATTTATTTGAAAACGAAGGTAGAAATTTTATCCAGCTTTAATTGAAACCAGCAAGTAGAAATCTAAAGATTATGATATTCAATCATATATATAGTTTAACTGAATAATTGACAAAGAATAAATAAGAAATTAAATTACCTGTGCTGATGAAGTCAAGAAACGCAAGGGACTAATCCATGATCAGAAGTTGAGTGCAAAGAAATTAATTTACAGTATTGTCGGTGAGTGATTGAAGCTGCTAGATGACCTGGTTGAACCCAGATCTTAGAAGCTAACTTCATTCTCGACAAAGGAGAATAGGACAACTTTAATTTGGTCGAGTCAAAATCAAATCCCAGAAATCAAGAACTCAAAAAACATCAATATCATGGATCAAGGGTGGAGGATTGATTGGATTTCTGATAAATGGTTGTGAGAATTCAAGAAAAGAAGAATATAGATTTGTTTCTTACCAGATCACGCTGGCAGCTTCAACCTCTCAAACCAACATACATACATACATAAACCTAAAGCCCAGTTTGAGACAGAAAAGCAGTGATATATTTATAGGGTTTTGATATTTGTGAAGGTGAAGAGCCATGCATGACTCTCCACTTGATTCATATGTATGTTGAGAGAGTTTTAATGGCTAATTTCTAGCCTTTTCTTACAGCTACTGACGTTGACTTGTTGCCTCCTTCCCAATCTCTCCTCCTCTTCTCTTCCAATAATTTATTTTTATTCTTATTTTTTTAAAGCAAACAACACAGGACCACTAGCCACGATCGACCTCGACAACTGTTAGTTACAAGGTCACTAATTAGAGTTGATTGATCCATATAAATTTAAATACAACAAACTGCTTTACTTTAATATTATTGACATTTTAATCCTGTCACATATGTTTAGCTATACGTTACCTGCACCCTATGAATAGCTAGAATGCAAGACTATCATTCCGGGGTGACCGTTTGTACTCCTACAGTCAAGTGCAATAGTAAAATTTGAGTACATTTTGGTCGGTTTTTTAGATAATGTGCATCTTTTGTTTGGTGCAAAGTGGGGATTTGAATCAAGGGTATTTATGACTTTTTAATTGTTTAACTGGTTGATTTGATTTATATCGGCGTTCTGTCGACCTTGCCACATTGATTCTGTATCTTTTGTAGCTGTTATGTAAATCTCGAGGATCCTTCGAGACATGGTTCTTGTGAGTTACTCTTCCTCAGCTGTCTTAGGAATTTAGACGATCCCTGATATATCTTGTTTGTGGAATCATGTAAACAAAGTACAAATGTGCGAGTAGATATTTGTCTCTCTTAAGAAGACCCCGTGCGGACCCTATTATCACCATAACAGGTGTAGGAACAACGGACCCCTTGTCTTAAACTGTTAGGTTTGCCATCTGCTCCTTCGACCATGGGTTCAATTAATCAAGGGTCACTGCCAACCACCTGGATCTTTGCCCCATCCCAAGGCAAACTGTTGGGACTGATTTTTGAATTATATTAGTAAGGTGGTTTACACAAACATTTTCTTGTCACACTAATCTTAATATTGAACTTCGTATAAGCAAAAGTTGACAATCATCAAGTAAAGCTCGTGAACCTTTTAATTTGGCCAAGACTTAAATATTTAAGAATCCATGATTATTAAAATGAGTGGACAGTGGAGGGTTGGGACAGAATATAAACGGCGCATGCTTGGTTTTGTCACATGGGGATGTCTTTTTCTGCCTAATAACTAGTTGTTTTCAATATTTGGGCAATTTTAAGAAAGCATTGGACCATGTCCTGTTACCATCTACCTTTGCCTTTTTTGTACGTATCCCTACCCTTTAAACTTTAACCTTCAATTCATTAATTCATACAACATCTGACAATTTGCTCGGCACGAATGACCGGATATCTGTAGTATACGCCAGGTTGGCCGTTGGCTCTATGGCACACTTTTTTGTCTTTACTTCTGGGATTTTCCTCCCTCTCTGTATGTATACGTATAATTGCATTATTTTTCATCTGGTAAGGTCGTCCTCGATCTTTAAAATAAGTAAGTTCCGTTAATTTATTCTTAGTTTCATTCTTGTGAAAGCACTTTCCAAGGGGAATATTTAATAAACGGGATAAAGGGTGATCAACATGCACAACACCTAGTACATATTTTTACGGATACGTATTCACTCCCCTAGGTTTTTTAGTTGGTATTCTTTTCAATATCTACGTCATTTTAGCATTTCACCGAAAATATAAGGAAACAAAAAATTATTTGAAGTGAAACATATTTTCGTGACTAGTTGGCGAATATTCACACTTTTCTGTTGTTAGATATGAAACTATAACCAATGTTTTGATGTCAACTTGATCCTTTTTAAAGTTTATGGACCAATATTGCAATTTGCCCACACACACACACATATGGTTGATAAACAATGACATTAAGACAAAGCCCTAATGGTGGGGAAGGACCACAGGCTTTTAATTTGCTATAAATAATTTGATTGATTAATAGATATGATCACATGGTTTTGCTTTGTAATTTAGCTTAGAGACTTGAGTCTTCATGTGATTAAGGTTAGTAATCTAGTGGTGGTTGTGAATAAAACTGACCATTATTAGCTTTTCTATTTACTCATTAAATTAAGGCCTTGATTTTGGTCCCACTAACTAGTGTTTGATCATTCATTTGTTCACTATAGATAGGAAATTTGTAGCTGCCTTTCATTTCCCCAACATTTATGATGAGTTTTTTTTCTTAAGAGGTGGCTTAGATTCATTTAGTGGATTCCATAATCAACTTTGTGGTCATAAGTGGTACTAGTTGACAATAGAAAGTTGATTTTCAATCTCTATTAATAAATAAAAAGTAGAAATCACTTGAATCTCTACAAAGTTGTTTCGTGATCTTCACGCGTTAAATTTTATGAAGTTATATTGTGTTTTTGAACTTATGCCGATATCCAGAAAATTGGAGGATGGGTACTTCTATACGGGTTCATGTTACATTTTAGTGAAGATTAAAATAGTTTTGCGCTATTGGGAGTTGACTATGCAATTAGAGTAAAACACGATGATCAATTTGCTCAGTTTTGAAGGTTGAGATCAACTTGTTAATGCGGTAATAAATTAGGAACCAATTATACACATTTTAATCTCGCGAGTTAGTAATAAATAAAATTATCTATTATCTTATTCAATCCTCATTAACTGAGCCTACACAGAACAAAGTGCATTTAACAAAATATGAAAAACTTATACTACATTTCTTATGGAAAAAACAGTAAGCCCCTCCTCTAAAATATACTAAGGTAACTATAGTTACACTATATACTCATTCTTTTTATGTTTCTTTTTCTTTTCTATGCATTTTATTTATTATTATTTTTTTAAAAATGACGAGTTGGATTGGACGAGTTTATTCGATTTACACGAGTTAACCCATAACCTGACTCAACCCAACCTGCCTACACAGTCAACCCACCCAATCCTTGTAAAAACAACAAAAAACCCACCCAATCCGGTCGAATTGGTTCGATTTGGACGATTTTGACGGATTCGATCGGATTTTGCCAACCCTTAGGTTTTTACTAGATGGTATATGAAGGATCTAACTAACCATATTTCTTATATATTTTTCTCTTGAATGCCAAATATATATTAGTTGAATATGTCTATATGCCACGAGCACCATGGTAAGCCCATGTGCACCTAATTATCTTAGTCAATTTGATCAGATTTGCTCTGATCACGAGGTTCTAGTTGCAAATGACTTGGACGAATATGGGAAAGATGGAACTATCATCAATCGGCTTAAGAAATATATGATTCGGTTCAGTATTCGATAAAGTGAAATAGGTTTAATTGTCGAGACATTGAATATGGAGTAATTATAATTGGTTTTTTAAGTTAATCGAAGATCGCTTGTGAAACTACTAGCATTTCTTGACACGTATTAGCTTTAGTGTCGGTATTACGAAACTAAGTGGTCATAATTGATGCTATTGTGGGGTTAAATTGTGATTATTATGTCTATATGTTTCCTATGATCATCTTTTTGGATTTGACAATGCTACATAGAAAGGGCCTTAATAGCATGGCAAGCATTCAGACAAGGAATGACGTGATTAACGAATAATAGTGTGGTTAATGACATTATTACTTGTAATTAGTAGCACTTTTTTCATGTGTAAAATGTAAATAATAACCCGTAGTTGAATATTTTGTAGCATCGCCTTTTGTAAGAATGAAGGTTGGGAAGTTCATTGATCCAAATGGTTGTTCATGTACTCGAGAAGATTCAGCAGTACGCGAAATCTTTGGTTAGTATCATATTTAACACGTAAAATCTTAGACTACTCTTTTCAATAAGATTGACCAATAAAGGCTGAATTCGAAAATGTCAATTCCCAAAATTACAAGCAGAAAAATTCAAATTAATATTATACCGGAACTTTAAAGGATTTTTTGTATTTTTAATTTTTTTTAATCTGATTCTCTCAAAATAATTGAAAGGACATCCTAAACTCGGTATTCAGAGTTCCCAGGCCCGCGCGCTCAACCCAGACTTGCAAACAACTTGGCCCAAAATGGAATTCCCTAGCCCATTTGCAAGACATTCATAAAAATTAAAAAGTGAGATGCTACTTATTTAAAGAATCAAAATTGACTTTAGGCTCGAATAGGCTTTTTATTTAACTTTTAAAATAAAGAATGAGTTTGACACTCTAAATTTGAACAATTAAAATTGCTCTTTGTTTATATTTTATTAAGATTGCATTTAATAAAATTACAATTTTTTAATGTTTCACTACTTAAATAATTATTATATTAAGTCCTTATTTGTTGGAGATTAAAATAATATTTTTTGCAAATTTTGATTAAAGTTGATGAAGTATGTAGTTGGAATATTGTTAATCTTATAAAATATGTGGTTAAAATTAATTGTTGACGTTGATTTAGATAAAAAATAGATTGTGCACACTTCGGATTCGGAGCAAGGAAAACGTGATAAAGGTGCTTCAATTTGGTGGTGTTAGATTGTTGCAGCTTAACAAGGCATGGGCCGATCCAACTTGTTGTTAGTGGGCTGAAGTCCACATATTCGGGTGTCCAATTGGAGCACATGTCTAGCATATGTGTTGGGCGGTTTTCGAAGTCCAGACTAGTGGAAAGTGTGGGCAGCTCCTAGAACTAGTTGAGGGATACAGTTTCGGGCCAACTGGGTAGGTCTATTCCTTTGGTAGTTGGAGATGTCAACTGCATACGATTTTGAGTCTATAAATACTGAAGGCCAGACCTGTTGAGACACAAGGGAGTGTTGTGATCCTACAATGTCTTCTCTCGTGTCTTGTATTATTGTTGAGTAATAAACAAGTTGTGTTCTTTACCTTCTATTGCCTTTTACTTCGTGTGTGTTGCATGAATTCGGGTTGGCTGACTAAGAGCTTGTTTGGCAAAGCTTAAAATCAAATTAAAATTGAAAATATAACTGTTATTGAGTCTCACCGTCTAATAAAAGTCAATAATAATGTCTAGTTTTTCAATTTTAATCCAATTTTAATCTCTATCGAACACGTCCTAAGTGTGACTTAGTATCATAAATGAATGTTGGAAAATAAATCAAAGTATTTTACCTAACAAACCTTTTAAGTTTCACTTAATTCATTTACTTTTATTCCAAGAAAATAATTATGTTTATACGGGTCAAAACTGCGTTTTCTTGATTAAAACATTATGTAATATGCGTTTTAACACATTTTCCTTGTATTTTCCCCATCACTTCCGTTATCTTCACGGCTTCGCCACGTCACCCCTCCACCTCTACCCCGCGGCGGAAGAATTTTCTCGCTAAACTCCTTTCTTTACGTAATCTATCAATAAACTAAAATGTCGAAACCTGCATGATCGTATTAATATTAATGATACTTACAAAATTACGCATAATTTTATGAGCTACGGGTTGATTGTATAATTCGGAGAGGGAAAATACGAAAAAACCCCACAATTCTGATGGCGGTGTTGTTGGAGGACATAGTGAAGTCATTGGAGCACTTGCTGAAGCTGATCAGCAGGAACAGCCAGGAGCAGGCATACGTGGACCCAACCCTCGACCCTGTCCTCTTGGTACCGGGGATCGCCGGTTCGATCCTTAATGCCATTGACCAGAAAACCGGTAAAGAGGAGCGGGTCTGGGTCCGGCTCCTTGGGGCTGACCACGAGTTTCGTACCAAGCTCTGGTCTATCTTCAACCCTACTACAGGTCAATTATCTGAATTTATTATTTTTTCCTATTTTTTTGTATATCATGTGATCTATAGTATTTGTTTGTTGTGTTGGTTTGGGTTTTGGTTACTCGTTGGAAATTACTATCCATTTTTTGTTGAATTAAAATTTATTTTGGGAAGAGGGGTGAGCTTAGAGCATCTTCAATGCAACAATGAATGCTTGTACATGTAGCAAGCAAAATGGGAGTGGAGAGAAGAACATCTCTAATGGAATTGAATACAAGAGAGGATATACGGAAAGAGTGGAAATAAATTAGGAAAAATTAAATGGACACATTCTCCAATGAGTAAATTATAAAAAATTAAGTATGTGTACAGTATGCTAGATATCCTCCACCTTTTCCTTGCCTTGTAAGCATTTTGAGGTGATGTGATACACTTTTTGGTACAATCCATGGCCCCATTGGAGATGCTTTTAGTCTTGCAAGTGAATAACTGTGTCTCAATTCAAGTAGCTGATGTAGACAATTATTTCCATATTATTGAGTTTTTGGATAGTTCAGGCTCTCTCTCTCTCTCTCTCTCTTTTCCAAAAGCTCAAATTAGAATTTATAATGCTTTTTTCAATAGCTTTCTCCCCTTAAAAGTAGTAATGATATGTTCATAAAAGGGAAACTTGTGAATTTTTTTTATGATTGAAAAGTTCTTAACTTCCATAGAAGTTTTTCTTGATACTACTTAAAAGACATATTTAAGTGTGAGTTCTTTTATGTTGTATGTGAAAAGAAAAGTTTACAAATTTCAGGTACAAGGTATCATGAATTGCTGGCGTCATTCCAAATTTATTACTGTTATATTTTTTGTGACTGTTTTAGTTTCTTCATCTCTCTTCGTGTAGACTGTTATTGTGTAGGTTCTTTTTGTTGGTCATGGGATTGTTTTGGATTTGAATAACGTTGTCCAAATCGTTTAAGTCGGGGTATACTTTTTTGTGTGTGTATAACAGGGAAAACAGTAACTTTGGATGCTGATACTCATATTGAAGTTCCTCAAGACAGAAATGGCTTATATGCAATTGATACATTGGATCCGGACATGGTAAGATTGTGATATCTCTGTATATTGGTCGTTCACATTAATTTTTCTGCATTTTTTCATCCTCCATTTTGTTTTACTTAGAGAAGAACGTGAATTAATCCTTGTTACAGTATGTATATATGATCTTGTGATAAGATTTATAGACCTCATAATTTCAATTTTCATGATACAATCAACATCTGCCTTTTATACCATTGCTAGCGTGTCCTTTATCATTGATTGTTTAACCAAAACGATATGTGACGAAGTGCAGATTAGGACCCCCTACTGCCTTATCAGAGGAAACAGAAAAGCGAAGAATGGGAGGGGAGGGGAGGGGAGGGGAGGGGTGGGGTGGGGTGGGGGGATTCTATCAACATTTTTACATCAAATGCAAGCTCCAAACCCAGATTCCTATTATAAGGCACATAGATGAAATCATATAATTTTAATTATATTTTTTTATTCAATGTTAGCAAATTTAGAATAATCTCTGAAGTGCCACGTGGGAACAAATTAATTACTTACCATGAAAAGCAGAAAGACAAGTTATCAGTTGTTCCCATCTGAATCAGATGCAC